TTCACTAAAGACGTGGTGATTGGTATAAATTCGCTTTTGCTTTCAGAATTACTTGAAAGGCCAATTTCATTCATGATTACTAACAAAGTTTTTAAGGGCAAATTTATTAAAAAAAAGATTTTTTTTTTGCAACTAGGTGCATATTAAAAATTTCGCACATAGGATGCATTTATACGCATAGCAAACAAAATCTAATTTCCCATATGAAAAATAATGAAAATAATTAATAAATGGTGATTATCTATCTACCCAACAATTATTCAACTTTAACCTTATCAACTACTTATCGTTATTATTATTATTATTATTATTACAATTATCATTGTAATTAAATCAACTATTTAATTTGTCCTATTAAATTATATTTCATAATTTAATAAGCTATCATTACTTAAATTCAATTTAGCAATTTCATCGTTTAAATTTAATATTCTACTTGAATGATATGCTAATGGATGTGATTTGTGAATTTGTTGTGAATTACTATTATTACTATTATTATTATTATTATTATTATTATTACCATCACCACCACCACCAATATTATTACTATTTTCATTAAGATTCTCAATTTTAAATTTATTACGAGCAAATACCAAAACCTCTCTGATAGTTGGTCTTTTTAATGGATCTCCATCCCAACACTTCTGCATCATTTGTACACAATCATCAGGCATTCCTGGTAATATTGGTGGTCGTAAACCTTCACATATTTTTAATTGCAAACGAAAATCATGTGCTGTATCATCAAATGGTGGATGTCCTGCAAATATTTCCCACATTAACATCCCAACACTATAAACATCTGTTTCTTTTGTGTGTTTTTTTCCTCTAAATAGTTCTGGTGCAATATAAGGTACAATTCCATAAATTCTATTTGATGATTTTTCATCAACTGGTCCACATAACCCTAAATCTGTGATATAACAACCACCTCCTTGCAATAAGAAATTACCACTATGTAAATCACAATGAATTAAATCCTTTTCATGTATAAAATATAATGCATCACATAAATTATTAAAAATATTAATTCTATCTTTTAATGTTAAATTATAATGATTTTTTTGTATATAATCTCTTAAATTTCCATTTTGCAGATAATTAAGAACTATTCCATAATTTCCATTTCTGGGAATTTAGTTATACCATAACATTCAACAATTATGTTCGATTTAATTTTACAATAATTCAATGCCTGAAATTAATTATATAAATAAAGTGATTTAATTCAGAATAAATGGTTTATTTTAAATAAGATCAATTACCTCATCAAAAAAAGGGTTTCCTGGATTATTTGAATTATTTAATGATTTTAATACAACAAACTGAGCTCCAAAATAATTAAACTCCTTTTTATTTTCGTCATAATCATTAATACATCCTCTTGTCCACTTAGCAGTATAAATAGAACTGAATCCACCTTCTGTTAACTTTTC